CCTTAGCAACTTTATCTTATTGCTGCCTCGGCTCGTAGCGCACAATAAAACAGCCACCATACCGAGTCGCAGTTTGTGTTACACAAAAGAGCTTGCAATTGGCAATATTAATAACAAGCTGTACATTTATTCTTATCAATGATTACTTCTAACGTCTTCTTACTAACCTGTGCTATATGCCGCCTGCACAAGATCTCTATAGCGTAGCTGTTTGACGTCTGCGGAAAAAACGTCCTTGTATGAAAGCGTTCCAACAGTGTGGAATTATATACAGATCTTCATCTACGGCAAATAGGCCAATGTTTACAGCAAGGTGCTCTCCTCTGCAACAGAAGAGATCACAGTTAATGCGCTTTTTTTCTGTGTCAATGGCAGTAGCTGTCGTCTGATGATTTCCCAATGTGTTGATGCAATGTCAGGGGTAGAAAGCAATACAGGTTCACCGATATCTTATTGCTAACCGAATTGGACGTCCCCGTAAAAAAGTCGATATTTCATCTTTTCGTTCCGAAATTCAGGAGATATCTCTTACGTCTGCCATCACATGTGAACGTGAAGCCTCTTCAAGATTTCTAACTGATCATGAAATGGTACTGTTATAAATAACAACTCTATTGCTTTATAGGTCCAGTCTCTTCGTAACATAAGGAATCCAATGAGCGCTTAGCTACGCGACTCAGACACAGACTTGGTTATGGGTCTATATTGTCTTCGGAAAAATTAAAGTTTAGACTTTCGAACACAGCGACAAACTGGTATGGCGATAAGCAACATTCCCGAGCTCCTCTTGATAAAAATTGGTACAGCTGACAACTGCCTTACGACGACAGAACGCCGTTTATTAGCTTAACCACGATAGTATAAAGTACCTTGGCTTTATATATTAACGGACACGTCCATGTCAATTATACCTCAAGAAGCCAATCAAAACACCACAGGCAAAGGTAGGTCGAAGGACAATACCATTCCATCTTAAGGGTTAATTATACAACCTCTAGTATGACAATTAAAGCTCTACATGTTTTTTTTTTTTTTTTTTTTTTTTTTTTTTTTTTTTTTTTTTTTTTTGTGTCTAAGTCAACATTGGACAAGTTTGATGGTCCGGATGTGTTTAATAGATTGAACTTGGGAATATATTCGACGCAAAATGGAGTTCCTCTACAAAAGTATGTGAAATGTTCATTTATTTATTGATTTTTTGCAGAAAGATCTTTTTTTTTTTTAAGATCCGTTTGCTGTATATATTAAAGAATAAACACCTCCTGATGATAAGGCAAACCCTATGGGTACGTCCGTGAAACTCAGAGTAGGGGTTCACACTTCTTGTGTTTATTTATTTATTTATTTATGTATTTATTTATTTTCAATTATATATATATATATATATATATATATATATATATATATATATATATATATATATATATATATATATATATATATATATAATTGAAAATAAATATATATATATATATACAAAAAATAAATAAATAATGCCATCTCCTAACGCCAGCACACGCCAAGAACTTAGATCGAGTTCAGATCAATTTGAATAAATCAAGGTAAAGTGAAAATTGAACAGTGTGTTTTGTATGTGTACATGGGTTCGAAATGTTCCATACATGGCCATGTTTTAGAGAAAATAACGAGCACCATATGCTGTAGGATACTGCATTAGATATAAGGTATGGTTAGCGCTCACTGTCAGTTTACAGAGAAAACGGACACTAATGTGCTCAACGATATATTGCTGTGTATGTGTGTATGTGTGTGTGTATGTGTGTGTATGTCTATGTGTGTGTGTGTGTGTGTGTGTGTGTGTGTATGTGTATCTATGTGTATCTTTGTGTGTGTGTGTATGTGTGTGTGTACTGTGTGTATGTGTGTATGTGTGTGTGTGTATGCGTGTGTGTGTGTGTGTGTGTGTCTGTGTGTGTGTGTGTATGTATGTGTATGTGTGTCTACGTGTGTGTGTGTATGTGTGTATGTGTGTGTGTGTGTGTGGGGGGGGGTATCAGAGCCAATTCATTATTGCCGTGAAATAAAGATACCTGTGACGCCCAGTACCAGTGTTAAATGAGATATATAGCCTTCCCGACAACTTTTCATTAAAACTGGTTTATCACTCACACGAGTAATGACATTCTGCTTTCTTTTGGTCAATTTGGTCATCAATTTGTTGCATGTTGTGTTACAGAATATGCGATTTATGTGTATGGTAATAGTGGAGGTCATATTTTTGTAATTTCTTTCTTTACATCTCTCTCTCGATCTCTCTCTCTCTCTCTCTCTCTCTCTCTCACACACACACACACACTCAAAGATGTTTTGGCAAAATTGACTTTTAATTCTAAATTTCTTGAAATGATGTTGTCAAGTGCTTATCCCACTGAAATCTTTTGCAAAAAAAAAGCTTAATGACGTTTCCATCCACCAAAGTGACCATATTTGACACCAAGCCATCACATCCTAGGTATCCGCCAGACAGACGCTGTTGTGTCTTTAAAAGCACACCATGAACGTCACACTTTTACAGGGAAAAGAATCTCCCTGGAAATGTCAACACCTTTCTCTTAACCGCCAAGGAATACCTCATCCAAAACAACTTACAAAATAAAGATCGACCTGTGAACCACCCTTTTACTTCGACATTTCTCGTTTTTGATTCACTCTTGTAATAGTTACGGCGACTATTGGGTTTAAATTAAGCCAGTTAGAAAAGACTTGAATTCAAAAACCTGTTTAATCGTTTCTTGTAGATATGGTGTAGCACACATGTAGGGGAAATAGTTGGTGCTGGTTCCAGTTTTAATATAAATGCTTTGTGACCATTTTTTTTTTTTTTTTGCTTTTATAGTTATACTTTCTTGGGTTGCTCCCCGTCATGGAGAGGACAATAAAATATGTTTCAGCAAACATCAGGAGGTCAAGAGTCAGAAGACATTGCCTTCACTTCATGTCCTCTCTTATGGTTCTTTCTTTTGTCAAAATTCACGAAAACTTATTAGAGATACCGTGTCCACTAGCAAACTGAGACAGTCACTTTCCAGGAAAAGCCGACGAAAACAGAACCGATGTCGTAAGCAACAGAAAAAAAGGTGAAATAGATTTACGGACATCTCATTGACGTTTTGCGATCGATGGAGTTTTCATGGAGTTTTCAAGTAAAGGGGTGAAGTAAGGTCTGGCAACGTGCTGCACGCGGTCTTGATTGCGTCGTGATTATTGTAAGGGGGGTTCCAAAGAGGAACAAAAGAACAGCATCAATTCTGTGGTTATTTTCTATCGCGAAGCCAATTATATTCAGGGCTGGGTGAAAAGCGAACCTCTTGAAAATATATTTTTGTGACTAACAAAGCCACTTGTGTGACATGCTGATGATTGGTGTGACTTCCTTCCATCTTCAGATGTCACTTGTCGCTTTCTCTGCCAGTGGATTGGGTGTTTCTAGCAGATCTAATGTATCATTTTAGTACTTGGCTATGCTATTAGTAGGAATTCAAGAGGTTAATTAGAAAGCTGTGAAATACTTAATCCTCATCATTGAGAAGTTTTCTTGCGATTCTCCAAAGACAATGACGTAAACTGCTTGCACTTACGACCTGATCGCGTGCCACTCGACATGATTACACGGTAGGTTTTCATTTCAGAATGATGTTTAAAACATCTGAGAATTAATTCTGAATTAATTCAATCGAAGGCGGGTCTTCAACAGAACATTTTTCACTGGTTATCTATCATCATACCCGGTTATTCGCGATTTTCAGGATTTTCAACTCGCAGTATCAGTGACATATGAATAAAGTTTTATTCACTGTGATTTGAGATGATCTTATTTCCCGTGAATTGTGATCTCTACCCCCCCCCCCCTCTCCCCTTGAATCCTCTGTAAATATTCGGAAAAAAACGAGATTTTCATTAGGGAAAAAACTATCAACTTTTCAGATAGTTTTCGAATCATTAAATTATATTTTACTATAGCATTTGTGGTGATATTGCTGCATACAATAGCCAGCTTTTAAATTTAGTTGTTACCACATAATAAAAATGTTCTCATTTTAAGAATTTATGACTTTGAAAAAATGTATCTGTAAAATTCGCAATTTTCCGAAAAGATGGAGCCATTGCCGCACATCATCCAGAAGTATATTTCAACATAATCAGAAAAAAACTGCTTTGTTATATTTTACTGCAGGGATGTTTATTATAATCACAGTATAATATAAAACAAAAAAATAATCTGAGAAAATTCATTTATTTTCAATAATAAAAGATGTAAGTCATGGTTTTTTAACTTTTTTTGCATAATTTTCTGCTTCTTCTTTCACAGCTGAAACAACGAACATTTTTAATGCACCGTGTACTGGATGTCAGCATCTGATGAACACCTAATATCATAAGTCAATCATTGTTAGGTAGCTTAGGCTCTAAAATCAGTTTAAAATATATACTTGCTGTGTGTGTGTGTGTTCATCAAATTGATTAATCTTATTTCTTAATCTTCAGTTCCAACATCGAGTGATTCTTGGGTAAGTACAAAACTAGAGTGATGGCTAGTTCCTTCCTGCAGACGATATAAAACAAACGTTTAAAATAAGACTTAGACTGGGTTCCCACAGATTTAGATCGATCTATCTGGATCGACCTAACTCCCTGGGGTTCACGTTAAATTGCTGTCAGCTTCCGGGAGCCGAGCGCGCAAAGGTTAATTACCCCCTTACAGCTTTTAGTAGGTGGGACAGACGGTCAGGGTGACAGTAATTTAGTGAGACTCCCCAGGGGGATAGATCGATCTAAATATCTGTGGGAATGGTCTGTTAGTTCTCTTTGGCTCTCTATGTTTGTACCTATGTATGTCTTTCTTATATTTTATACTACTATTATTATTCCAAAAATTCATACATTTAACCTATTCAGTAACAACTTCGAAACATGAAGCCAGCTGACCTTTTATAACTTCATGGGCAGATCCAGGATTATTTGAAGGGGGGGGTGCCCCGTTTTTTTTTTTTTTTAATGACAGACAGATGCTGAGCCGACTCTTGTCCCCTTGGTGTGGGGTTCGGTTCATTTGGAGGGCTAACTGTGTCATTTGGTGCAGTTTAGAACTGTGATTCAGCTCTTCAACAGTCTAATATCAAGAGAGGAATATCGGTGTGATTTTTTCCCAGAAACCAAGGGGGGATCAGCACCCCCCTGACACCCCCTAAATCTCCCACTGAACGTTATGCTATATTGCTAACAAAATAAATTCTGGGATGCAAAATAGATTGATTTGGTATGAATCTCATTAGTATTAACGTCAGTTGATTATCCCAAGATTTCCCATGCCTCTAATTAGGCATTCTTTCAAATTATCATAAAGCTTTCTGATTGGTCAACTCCACTGACACAATATTGTACTTGGAATGAAACAACTTAATTGATTGGTCCCTTATGATAGTAACCTCAACCCGGAACCTCTGATTGGTCAGTTTTATGAATGATGACATCAGATCACATGACATGTTATGAACAAGGATAACTTCAGTTGGGGCATTTCATCATTGATATGAAGATTTTTCTGCTGGATTGATGCTTTCCTCATCTGACAGGATACCAGTCGTCTCGTCTGGTTCTTGCTCAAGCAGACGATAATCCGGCTCTGCTTGGCTCTTCCATATCCCATAACCAAAGTAGATCAAAAATCCTGAAATCAGAAGACAGTCAGTTGAGACACTGGCAAACATTCAAATGTGTCAGTTGAGATTGTGACAAATACTTGAATGTGTCAGTTGAGATTGTGACTACTACTTGAATGTGTCAGTTGAGATTGTGACTACTACTTGAATGTGTCAGTTGAGATTGTGACTACTACTTGAATGTGTCAGTTGAGATTGTGACTAATACTTGAATGTGTCAGTAGAGATTGTTTGGAGAGAGAAAGATAGAGAGAGAGAAAGAGACTTACCTAGCAGCATCCAGACTCCAAACCTTACCCAGGTCTGAACAGGAAGCTTTAACATAAGGAATATATTGACGAACATACTGATCACAGGCATCACTGGCACCCCAGGCACCTAGAGGATAGTAACAGGCACAAGTGTATATGTAATATTTATGCACACACCTCTTCACCTATACACACACACACTGAGCTCTCTATAGGTACTATCACTGTCAGCAACGAGAGCAAATGTCATTATTAAGACAACCACCATTTAAGCCAATGGATTTGTTTAGAGATACAAAGGGAAGTATTTTTTCTTTAATCAACTGCTTGTATTAAAATTGTTCATCTATAACAATCCAATGTCCGTGTTGCACATCTTCACAGTAATCAATTTAAATATTAGCTGTTGATTGGAGAAAAGGTTAATTTATTCTTATAACATAACCCAGCTGGTGTATTTTTCACAGAAAAAAACTGGCCTTTAAAATTCTCTATCTCCACATAAACACATACTGACACACCCACACGTACAAATACACACACACACACACACACACACACACACACACACACACACACACAGTAAGCCAATCTGACTCCAGTCTTACCAGAAATGTGACACATCTTTTGTTTTGTGGCTGTATCCAGATGACAATGACCAGGAGAATCAGCGGCACCACTAATATCAACAGTAGTAGAATGGCCCACCACTGGGCGTTTGCTAGATACTGCTGGGCGTATATGATCACAGCGCTGATACCCGCCACCAGAAACCCTGGAAGTTTATTATAACAAGACAGAAAATTAATAAATTTCAAATTTCATCACAACAAAGTGATTACATTGCACATATAATCACATGAGTCAGTGGGATGATTAAAAAAATTCAACTAATATCACAAAGACAAGATCTCAAAGCCAGTTTACTAGAGCAACTTTTCCTAAAAACTTTGGATAGAGCATACATTTTGTTTGAAATAAACTGTTGAAGTTACTTGGAAAAAGTGATCACCATGTATTTAATTATATTCATTTTAAAACTCACATAAAATTCATTCATTATAACTTTTTTTCTACTTATAAATTTTTTTTACACATTCCTTTTTATAATTGCTATCTAATACTGTGTGTCGTGGAAGATGATCACCTATGATTAACACAGCAAAGGCTACAATGGTGGATGTTAAATCCGTGGGGTTAGGTCCAGTTCTCACGAACGCTGTCCTAATAATATCCTTTAAGAGAGGGACACCAGTGTAATAGCGCTCTTGTCCTCCTAGGTCAACACTATTGGAGAGAATGTCCTCTTTATCTGGGCGATATCTTAATATTAACACACAGGCTCCTACTAGTGTATAGGCAAGAAGTGTTCCTATGGACATCATATTGACCAGTTCTGTTAAATCAAACAACATGGCCATACAACCTGAAATTTAATACCAAACTTTCCTTTTATTCTGTTCTTTTTAGATTTATTGCATGTCATGACAATTTTTTATATCTATAGCCATACAAATATAAGAACAAGAAAAACCAACAAAAAAGTAAGTTAAAAATTATAACAAATCAATAACTCTAGGATGAAATGATTGATGGACATTCAAAGAGTACACCAAAGTTGCAAAGTTTACCAGATAAAATCCCTGATATTGTAGTGGCAAGAAAAAAGACAAAAAATTAGTTAAATATTATAACAAATCAAAAACTCTACAATAAAATGATTGATGGAGGTTCAAAAGAGGACACCAAAGACATAGAGATTACCAGATAAAATCCCTGATATCGCAGTGGCAAGTAATGGCGTGTGAAACCTGGGGCTGATGTCAGCGAGGAACCAGAAGAGGAGGCCATCTTGTGCCATGGCGTAGATCACACGAGGCATCGGAAACATAGCACCAAGTAGACTGAAAAGAAAGAAAGAAATGGTGGGGCTGATAACGCAGTTTAACTTAAACTGGTGCGGCTGATTACTGACTTCAAAGTTGAAACTTGGTACAAAACAACAACTTCATCTAGGACACAAAAATTTGTTTTACTGTTATATAAGTGATTCATGCCCCCCTCTCCCAACACACAATGTCATATAAAAAATGCTCTGAGAAAAATAAGAGAAATCCAATTCATCTTTGCATCTCACATATTATATACATTTTTAGGTTGAATTGTTTAATCATTAGAAAGTGATGTACACAGTAATATGACATTTTGTTTGTACTTTGAAAATACATAAATAAATCAATAAATAAATATTATATTACAACCTTACAATATTTTTTAGAATATTACATAATTTAATAATTAATAAAAAAATATTGCACAGTCAGTAAAATAAATCTACTACCTCGTAGACAGTCCACATATAGCGCCTACTGCTATGATATACTTGGCGACAGTCCAGCCCACGTCATCAAATACCACAGGCAGTGGTGCACTGGAGTCAAGGTCATAGTACGGCCACATCAAGGTCAAGATGGCGGATATCCCAAAGTACGCAGCAAAACAGGCCAGCAGTGACACTATAATGCTGATGGGGATGGCCTTTTGGGGGTTTTGTACCTCTTCACCTGAAAGAAAAAACACCAGTTTGTCACTGTGTTGTATAATCATCAGCTTCTCTACATACTGCTCAATGCCAGGAGGTTGCCTGTTAGCTTGTTAATCTGATTGCATTCAACAAGAGACCCCCAGGAGTTAGTGCACATCAGCTTGGCCCACAAAATGGATTGTGTTATGTATGTCAAAGGCTGTATTCCCAGAGCTTTTAGATCGATCTATCCCCGCGGGGAGTCTCAATAGATTACTGTCAGATAATCCGGCTTAAATGTCCGTCCCGCCTACAACAAGCTGTAAGGATGTAATTAACTTTCGTGTCCGCCCGGCTGACAGCTATTTAGCGTGAACCCCCAGGGAGTTAGGTCGATCTAAAGTAGATCGATCTAATCTCTGGAAATGGGGTCAAAGTCAATACAAGGTGGGTTCATACTGGAATAACTTGCTTTTCTCTGTAAACTTAAAATCTTCTCTTAAACTCTTAACTGTCCATATATTTATTTACTTTGTACTATATATTGTAATCTCTTAATATCTTAACTACGTATTTATTTCTTTACTGACTTTATTCATCTTTTCTGTTCATTTTACCCATTTTATATGGATTTTTGACTACAAATAAATATTATAATAATCATTATTATTATTATTATTATTATTATTATTATTATTATTATTATTATTAAAACAAGATCAGCTGATGTTTATGATTCCATTCTATCCAGGAATGGCATTATTTCTCTAGGAAGCAAACAAACAGAACTGTAGATCTTGTAGTTATAAATCACAATCACATGCTTTCCAATCTGTTGCAATACAGTCAAAGCATACAAACGATGTTATTAAACAAAATCCATAGACTTTAAAGTCCCAGATATGAAATGTTTTGTCCACCTGTTAAAGCAATTCAGTACAAAACCAACAAATAAAAATTTACTAAAGAGAATTCTCAGATAATCCAAGTTTCACCCACCTGTTGTAGCGATACAGTCAAAGCCAACAAATGCATAAAAACAGGTGGCAGCACCAGACAGGGTACCGGAGATGCCGTAGGAGAAGAAGCCGCCATGCCCAAATGGTTCTGTGGGATCTGTGTAATTTGGTACCTGTAAATGACATATTAAGTGAGTGAACTTCAGATATTCTTACAACAAACATTAATTTTTCTAGAAATTTCACTAGCTACTCTCAGATTTATTTGGAAATGCTTTAATCTGATTAGTAGCTGTCATTTTAAAGAAACTACTTCTATTATAATAATTGCAATGTCCTCTTACAGATATTCAAGTTACTGTAGTTTAAAAACTCTGTTTTCAAATAAATACAGAAAGTACAAATAGAGGTTGTTATAGCCACCACTACAAACCTGATTTTCACTTATATTCCAGTTTTTAAAATCTGCTTTAAAACATCCACACACAACAACGTAGGTGACCACCAGCAGGTTGACCCCCGTGAAGATATTGTTGACAAAGGAAGACTCTTTAACACCTATGGCTAATATCACTGAAATAAAACATTTAGAAAAAAAACTAATTAAATTCACTATGTTTTTAAACCTAAAATATTGCCCAACTTCAGTATAGGAGAATTTTGAAGGGGTGCACTGGAACATGGTGACTACAGAACTATATCAGTGCTCTTATTGAAGTGTCTTGGGACAAACAGACTTAACATTCGGTGTAAAAGTTAAGACAAACTCTCTGTAAAGCTTTCTTTTGTGTAAGAAGGCCAAGGATTTAGGAGAGGAGAAGTAGTGACCCTGATGGCACAAGACCCCCCCCCCCCCACCCCCGTCCTTTAGTTTACTACAGAAACATCTTCTACGTAATGTGGTCTAAATACGTAGGACAACTTTTCTATTTCTTTCAGCTAGAACACAGTCACAATTTTATTATTATATTTATTTTCTTTTTTTTTTTCAATGTCAGTTTTTTTTGTTTTGTAATTTCCTACTCATCAGGACACCATTCAGTACCATCGAATTATGGGAGCAATCATTAAAACAACCCACTAATTTAAAGAGAAAAAAAAAATTAGCCTACCAGTCAAAAGTAATGTTATTGCTAAGGCAAAGAAGTCTGGGTACTTGGACAGGTACGGTACGTCAATGTGAACATACTGGGAGAAGAATTTCTCTATAGCGCCTCCAATGAGAGTGTCGAAATAGGCACTCCACGCCCGGGCCACACTGGCGGTACCTGGTGGAGGGAATAAAAAATATTAACCTGGTGAACTAGAATATCCATTTTAGATTTGTTTTTCAATTGTAATTAAAGTAATATTATATAATATCATTATTTCTGTCATTATAATAACTATTATCATAATCATAAGTATTGTAATAGGATTTAAAAAAGTATATTGGATGAGAATTCCCATCACTGCTAATAAAAAAATAGTAAATAAATGAAATAAAGTAAACATCAACCAATTCATATCTTATTTCAAAATACTTATTTATATAAAATGAAACCAAAAAATAAAAAATAAATAAAACAAAATAAATCAGGGAGTTTGACAATACCTATGACATATTCCAAGATAAGATTCCAGCCAATGATAAAGGCCCATAATTCCCCCACTGTGACATAACTGTATACATAGGCTGACCCTGTCTTAGGAACTCTGGCCCCAAACTCTGCATAACACATGCCTGGAAAATAAGGAATGAGATCAAATTCAAAACAAGTTTGTTTTCATTATTTCTTGATTAAGATCAAAGGCAGTGTACAAGTGTGTGAGCTGTGACAGTGTTTTAGGTGTTTTTTTTGGAATTTCTTTTATCCTCTGTACTGCATACCTGCCAAAACTGAGGCCACGGCTGCGATAAAAAATGATAAGACAACTGAAGGTCCAGCCGTCTCCTTGGCAACCTGCCCGGCAACCACATAGATACCAGCTCCCAGGGTACTCCCAATACCTGGAAATATAAACATGTTTAATATAGAAAGTAAAATGAATGTGAACACAGTTTTTTAATGTTAACACTGGACCCATGACAACTACCTGGAAAACTGAAGCTGAGACAATAAAGTTTTACTTGAATATGTTCAATGGTTTCAGTCATTAAACATGTGGAACTGGTGCCTTGAAGGACAAATAGAGTAAAATTAGTGATGAAAGTGAACCCCGTATATAGAACCTTGAGAATACAAGTGCCTGTGCCATGCAGTTCCCATACAAAAGGTTATTTACTAGTACTAGAACATTACTAGTACATAATACGATGGAACATCACATTCAAAACTAATGGGGGGGATTGGGATTGTGGGGGTGAGGATGGGGGGCGGGGACTGGCGTAAGGATGGGGGGTGGGGGGTAAGGATGGGAGTGGGGGTGGGAGTAAGGATGGGGGGTGGGGGGTGAGGTTGGGGGGGTGGGTGGTGGCGAGGAAGGTAATATTATCAGTAATATTATCACCCAATGCAATCTACTAAAAAAGACTAAAAATATAATCCACAATAATAAACTTACCTAAGAAAGTAAGATCTAGGGTTGAAAGACATCTGTGAAGTTTTGTATCTTCCACATTCTCTAAGTCGACGTGCTTACGCCGTAGTAACTTACGCAAAAAGTTACTCATACTGATCTGAAAAACCGAACATTATCATCATTAGCATCATCATCATTACACTTTTCAATTCTGACACTTCTTTCAATTTAAAATTTGTGTCCAAAAACCTTGAAGTTCATGTAAAACAGAATTCAATCTCCTTTAACTGTTACATATACTACTGGATGTAATGAAAAATAAATGGAGAGAGAGAGAGAGAGAGAGAGATTCATGTGTTCCCATTCTTTGAGAACAATATGTTTAACAACTTCTGCTGAGTATCAAATAAGTATTGCCAATCCTGCTAAAGGCTGGTACATAGTAGATACCTCACAGCTATTGTGCAAACTCAAATTATGAATCCAACCCTGACAATTATTATGTAATTGATACTACCCTAATACATGTAGGTACTGTGACAGGACAAAAAGCAGCCTATTCTACATCATGTATGTGGTTTACATGGTCACATATGGATTGGCCATATTCAAAATGTTATCTAAAGTAGATTTATATAACCTGCAGATAAAATGACCACAGTATGTTGCATTTAACCAAAAGTACAATTGTATACATATGTTTCAACATATGACATCTATATAATATACATCTACATGTACCTTGTATTGTGACCCTGTATGCACAATTAATGAGTATAATTTTATAAACCATATCTTAGCCACTCGTTGACTGTAATTTTTTTTTTGTCAAACTGTATCATATTTATTTCTAAAATTGTCATTAGATAATCAAATCAAAAAAAAAAAAAAAAAAAAAATTATAAAAACATGACTACATGTACAACTTCTAAAATTAACAATATGAATGTTGTCTACTGTACAATATCTACCAAATAAACCTTTAATTTTACATGTTAACTGTTACCAATAAATAAATAAATAAATAAATAAATAAATAAATAAATAAATGATATTATTTCTGTCCTTCACTGCAATCATTGACAACTTACTGTGCCTACGGTTTATAAATATTGTATAATATCTTGGTTGCTTATATTGTGAATATAAACCATCCAGGTCTGCAGTGTTGTTGTACAAGGGCTGCTTTATCATGTCAGGATGACCTGTGAGTTAACCTCGTGACCAGCTAGTGCCGGGTCTACCTAAAATGCGCAATACACCGCAATACAGTGCAATACACTTTAAAAAAGAAACAAGTCCAGTTACAAGAAAACACAGGAAACGGTCATTCCAAATAAAATAGGTTGATATAAGAGCGAAATATATTACTAAATAATTAAACGCCTTGATAAAACTTAAGAAATTGGCACCTTTTGTTTATCGTCGGGTCAGTTGCCATGTTGGCTAGTGGCTCTTCTTGGTCGGTAATACTGTCAAGAAGAGACACAAGCCAACATGGCTGCGGACCCAACGATATTGAAGTAGTGCCAATGTGTTAGTTATATCAATGACATTAATAATCTAATCAATTATTTTGCTTTTATATTACCTTATTTTGTTGAGAATGATCGTTTTCTGTGTTTACTTCCAACTGGACTTGTTTTTTTCAAGTGTATTGCGCTGTGTTGCGCTGTATTGCGGTGTATTGTGCATTTTAGGCAGACCGGCTAGTCCCCCCCCCCCCCCCCCTCTCCTTTCAAGCTTACTCAACAGGGAAATCATCAGTGTATTTACTGTGCTATCAGAGATGACAGGATAATGATACTTAATAACCACCCACAGAAATCAAACAAAGAACCGGTGTGACATACAGCAATGATAGTCCGCTCGCTACATGTAGGAACTGTAGTACATGTATGTTCCCCATTACTTTGCACAGGTGAAATTCGTTCCACATATGATACGAACTGCATTAATTCTCTAACCCTAAACTGTACTAATACTACCACCACTAATAGTGCTACATATGGGAGCCCGGACTTCCATTCCTAGGACTACCAATTTCCTGTCATACGGATGCTGAAAATGTGCAAAAGATACGACAATGAGTGATTTTTATAACATGAACACTAAACTTGAAATTAAGTTGAGGACTTACAAGTTATGTGTACTTGGCCTGAGCGGTTTATTCAGCGTCCTCCGTGATCTGTCGCATTCTAAGACATTTCTCCCCAATTACCATCGAGTAATTTCACATATGGTCTCTTCTGCTAGTTTCTGACTGACTTAAATCCGGATCAGAAGGTGTGCATGACCTATTTCGTCATGTGATCATTGCTGTGTACAAACACTCCTACTCGCTCGCAAAGTCCAGAAATAATAAAGTAGTGACCTCGCTTTCAATCATGTTCCACTTAAATAAAGAAAAATATTTTGACCGAAACGAGACAAAGCTTTGGGTTGCTACCATGTTTCAGGCAGCTTTTTTTCCGGGTCAGTGTATACGTGCACGAATGATGATTGCATTTTTTCACCATATTTTTGTAAAAAAAGGAATGTAAACATATCGACTACAACGTATGATAATATATTCAACATAAAAAAGAGAAAATGAATAAGAGAAGCCGCAGTATTTGTCGCATGCCTATTTCTTGTAAAATACTCAATCACAACTTTACGACTCGCGTACAATAACTTCCGCTATCATACAGGCATGGCGGAAAGACGAAAAAAGCAAAAGAGAAAAGATGAGGTAAGATTACTAATTTAAAGTACGTATCGAGAATTTTATTTTATTACAGGCAATAATATCTACAGAAGAACGCTTCTAGTCAAAATAATAGCACACAGAGGTTTATTTCGTTTTGAACAAAGCAAGTTAACTGCAGCATTTGTTAGTACATATGTCCACGTCAGACAAGATTTCTGCTTCCTCAGCGACAAAACAGCTGTTTGAAGTTTTTTTATTTTCTTTATCATTAGCTCAGGGCACTTGTTTTTGCACCTGTTTGATTTTGTTGCTTGGAGATATTGCAGCGTATCCTTGGACTTTGTTACTGATTAGAATTGTTTAGAATGATTAAATTATATGTTCAAACATTGGTCAAACATTTACATATTGTTTTTAAAATTAAGAATTAAAAGATAAAATAAATAAAATAAAAAAA